GAGAGAGAGAGAGAGAGAGAGAGAGAGAGAGAGAGAGAGACTAAGTTGGAGATTTCCCCAAAATAATTTCACTCCGTTAAACTCAACATCCTAACAAGCAGTGCACCTGCTTAACTGGGATAAGTGCCAAGAAAAGAAAAAAAATCAGGGAATAAATTTCCAAAGCACTAGATAAATGGCACACCTCATTAGAAACTCTATTTAAAAGGAATATTAGAGGGATGTCTGCAAGAATTTCATAATAAATTGATGCTTATACCATCATATCATTGCCATCTTTCTTCTCAAATTACTGATCTTATTTCCCCTTAATAGGGTTCAAATTCAAGCTACATTTTATGAGTGATTGCCTCCTTGTGCCAGACATTCCCAGGTATCTGTTGGGAAAGGGAAAGACAGACTGTAGGAGCTGATACAGCAGTTGTCTGTCCTTGGAAGGTGGGTGCTGGGTGTATTCTTTGTATCCTTTCACATTTCCCCCAGTATCTTGGCCATTCTTGTGTAGTAACACCCTCCTTTTTTTCTAGTTTCTGCTGGGATTTCTCCTTCCTGCTTCTCTAAAGTGTGGCATAGCAAATCATGACCAATAACTCACCTAAACACTTGAGGTGATAAGAAACAAATGACTGTCCTTATTCTCCTCTATTTTATCTCCATCTTCCCTCTAAACTCTCAGCATGGTGACTTTCCACTCAACAGCAGATACATTCAACATGCTTAGTCAGCTCCCAGGAATTTATGAGCTATGGTGTTATAATTCCTATTCTGTAACACGTGCTTCTGCTATTTTCAACACTTACAGATAAAACCAATATTGTTTGAATATTTTTCAGCTGTTCCATTTGGCAAAGAATCAAGAACTGAAATACTCTCCCAATCTACTTAGATTCAGTGTCCTAAAATTTGTCTTTATTATTGTGAATAATTCAAATCATAAATTTTAAAGAAAAGAAAGGGAGATAAAATTTCTATCACAGACAAGAAAAAGGAAATTCCTACTCATAATAGTGTAAGGGTTATTTTTGTGTGTTCCATGAGTAGGATACATGGGTAAATCAGATCAAATTCTAAAAATGAGATGTTATGAAATTTGTCAGTTTAAAAATCCTCCTCCTCAAGCCAGTATAGTATGTATTTATTGGAAATAAAGGGTTTTTTCCAATGAACCTATTCTAAAAATTTCATGGTATGTATCTATTGTTACAAAGTACCAGATAGTAATCTGATACAGTGCCAGACATGCTAGCCTTCAATATAACCTCCAACATGCTTCCTTAGGCTGCTAGTCCTGGTTTGAAAAATATTATTACCTATTCAAAATATACTGGGGTAGTATAAAAGACTCATCATGTATATATTCTAATTTCTAGTAAATGTTTAAATTATATCAATTAAAAACAGTATTATAAATGTAAATTGGCTTTCATTCTTTAAATCTCTTGAAGTAAAATTGTGATGAATCATTAAAAGAGCTCATTAACAACTCACAAAATGGATGAATGGAATTAGAATTTTATATAAAAATGAGTGTGTCTAATCTACAAGGAGACTGATATGAGCTCCAGGGGTTTTGTTATAATTGTGCCAAGTCTTTGAACTTATATTTCTTTTATTCTATAAATGGACCTTTTGAACTTTAATAAGCTAAAAGCTTTTAGTTAGTTAGTTAGTGTTTTTTAAATATTTATTTCCTTTCATATTTTAATTTTGTAATTTTTTCATGTCTAACACATTTATGACAACCATCTTAATATAGCAAGTGTTGCTGTGTGCCTGTTTTTGTTGTAATATCCATTTATCAATTAGAGCAGTGTATGTTCTTACCTTACATCTGAGTATTTATCAAACATGTACAATTTGGTAATATAGATTTTATGAGAATAAAGTGTGTGGCAACAAGACACCAATACCTCACCTTGCCTCCCAGTCCAATATTTTTTTTTCTACTCTTACTTCTAAAAGCTTTTCCAAACAATATTTAATAGAGTTATCCTGTGAATCTAAAAGAATTTGCAGAAATGAAAATCAGATTTCCAAGTCTAGAACATGAGGCCAATGTGGCTTTGGCTCTGTTCTTTCTGATCAAGGACACACAGGTGTTAACAGTGATGAGACACTTTACAAATATTTCCATTAACATCAATCTTTCATCAAATGCTGTCTCTGCTAATCTCTTTACTAAAAACTAAGGGTGAAACTTAAGACAGAGTCACATGTATAAACCATTTCTAAATTTCTGACACACAGATACTATGAGATTACAAATGTTGCTGTATTAAGCCTCTTACTTTTGAAATAATTTCTTAGCCATGGATAACTGCTAAGAACAAGAAAAATTTCATTGTATAAACACTTTCATTCTCTAATTTTTCTATTTTCTTAATTCCTAGGGCTCAATAAATTTCAATTAAATGAAATAAAATTATATATGTACATTTCTTCATAAAGTAAGTAGCTTAAATTCAAAATGTCAAGGTTATGCATTTCTTTAAATAATATACCTCAAGAGATTTCATATATACTGAATATTCATAGAGTGAAATGAATAAAACAATTTTCCTTGAAAAAGTTTAGGATTCTGCATGATACAGTCAAGTCAACTGATAGCTCTAATGCATTCCACTAATTTTTTTAATAGATGTGTCCATACAGTACTCTAAGTAATAAAATATATTATGGTGTAGCATGTTATTTTTATGCATTACTAAAGTCATCATAAAAGAAAGAATATGTCAGGAAACATGAATAATCCTTAATATTAACTATTACTCTATCTCCACCAGATTCTGGTGCTGGAGAAACATGATTGTACATGGACAGCATAAAGAGAAGTTTGCATTTGCCTAGGATGAGCTGTTAAAACAGAAATAAATATGGTTGAGAAAATGCATATATTCAGTAAATTATAAGATAAAAACAAAGAGCTAAGCAAGTTCCTTGAATTTCAGTGTATTTCTTATACTTAGGCAATAGTGAAAACATTACTTTTTTTAGATGTTTTATGAAGATGCCTTTAGAACTATATTAATGACTAGGAACTGATGCAGATAGTACAAAATTTCATAAGTTCCCTAAGAAAGGAATGAAATGTGAAGTGTAATAGCATATATGGTGTCACTGATTTAAAAAAAAAAGCTCAGATTTATATGTCATTTTTGTTTACATTGCTTAGGCTATGATGAATTCTCCAGCTCCAAATAGACTTTCAAACTGACTGCAGGATCATTTAGAGGGAATAGCCTCATTTTGTCATTAATAAATGTGGCATCATAAGAAGGGAAATTCACAGAAGATCTGTGCTTTGTATTGAAGACTAACTGAAATAATTTCCATCAGATCAGATGCCTGTAACTTATAACAATTCATAGCACTTGATAACAGTAGTTCCATGTGAAAATATATCTAATCTTTATGTAATCTGACCTAAAAATCTAACTGGAAGTAGTTTTGCACTTTATTGAATAAATTTCTATGTCTGCTTACAAAATTAACTCACAGAGAGTAGATTGACATATAGCCCTCTAGAACATATATTACAAAATTAGTTAAGAATGTTTCATGGCCATCTTTAGTTTTGAGGTTATAGTAAATAAAATAATATTTATTGGAAAGGACATACAAAGTGCTGCAATCCATTTAGACTTAGTAAACATGGTTTTCTAAAGTAACATAACCAAATGTTTTTTCGGTTAAAATTCTGTCATTTTAAATTATAGAAAATGCAGCTACATTTTCTTTCAAGAATCTAAGAGTATAGTAAAAATGCATTACCTATTAGAGCAGAAACCTAAGACTAGTTGATATGTTGATTTCTGTCTAGTAAATGATGCCAAATATAGTTCAACTACTAAAGATAATAGCTGGTAGAAGCCATGTCAATAATGCCTCTTCATCTACAAACTGAAATAATAGACATCTACTCCTTTATGGAATTTATATTCCAGTTTTGGCTCCTGTAAAATATCAATTGTCTGGTACACATAATAGGTTTTTGATTGTTAATTGCTAAATAACTAAAATTCTATGAGAAGGAGAGAATTCTTGACTACATAGACCCCAATCCTTTATGTCTAGATGCTAAAGATCCTACTGCCACTGGAAATAAGAAGAAATTGAGAGAGAAGACAATATGATTGAAGAGCACATACAGATAACAATGAAATATTTTTGCTAGTGGTAAACGATGATGGGCATAGATTTACTTACTCATCTACTCATTGAATGTGTGCTGAATACCCAAGTAATTCATTTCCTCCAAAAACTCAATTGATAGAAAATGTATGATAATTTCAAAATATAAAATATATTTGAACAAAGAGACTTTGAGATTGGATTGCCATTGATGGAAATTTTATCTTCTCTCACTTGCATTATTCCTGCTATGTTCTAAACCCACATGGGCATTCAATATGTAGTAACTCGTTATGAATAACTGTGAGAAAATCCTCTTTATACTTTACACTTTATGAAACAAAATAGGCAGGGTTAGTAAAAGGAACAAATTATGTCTGGGAAAGAAACTTGAGATCACATGTCAGTGTACCTTAGAAATAATTCAAATATCTTCCATTTATCTAAAATTATTTAATCAACTTTGTGCTTTATTTTGTCAAATGTAAAGCCCACCAGTTATTTTCCTTCATAGATGATTATTTCAGCTCCAAAGAAACATTTCTATCAGGCTCTTTAATAATCGGTTTTATAAAACCACAGCATCTAGTCTTCACGAAGATTTTAAGATGAGGACATTAATTGCATTTTCAAATCAGAAAACACAATAGACCAAGAATGAATAAAAGCAACCAACTCCAGGGATGCCCAGTACGTCTTTCTGTGTTTTATTTCTCATACTAAGCTGTGGTGGGGAGAAGCAGTTCTCTTGGGAGACTATTTTTTCCATTGACTTAAAATCCAAATGTAATGCTTCTTACCGGAAAAGTTTTTGTAATCCACTAGATCAAACATCACGATAGCAACAGCTGACCATGTGATAATCAGAGCAATGACCAGAAGCCAGGCTGCAGGGGAGCTGAATGTTGTCACGATGTCTTCGGTGACAGTCCTCTTCAGCACCTTTCCAGGGGGCTTGGGAACAGATCCATTTTTGTTGTCTATCACTGTTGTGGTTGTAGATGCATTTCCTAGTCACACACCCAGAAAATAAAATACAATTCATAAATTAACTTCAAATATAAGAAACCAAATAACACAGACTTTTTGAGTCTAGCAGACTGTTAATGCAAGTTTCTATAGTAGAATCCACCCTTGCAGTGCAGGACAATAGGCCATAGCTCATTATCACGTTACCTGAATCTCTGTATTTACCCTGATAACGAAATACAGGACCTTAAATGAAAAGTGATGTTCATCTCCTGTAAAGTTTCTCATTCTCACTACTAGAAGCAACAGTGAGTTTCTTTTGAAACTAAGATGTATTTTATTTTGTGACCCTTCTATTTAGACTCTCCTGCAGTACAGAAAGCAAGCAAAATAACATTACTTATAGAGAGAAAAAAGTAATAATAAAATAGTTCAAATGATTGAAATATTTCTTGATATCCTAGACATATTACATAATGTGTCCACATTGAGATCATCATATTTCAGTAGCTACAGACACCTAAGAATATCTTATATTTTCAGATTACATTTTACCAGAACTAAGAGATCTTATGTTATCAGTTACTTATCTTTGATTTTAAGAATTTATAACTCGTGTAAAATTCACAAAATGTATAAAATAACAAAGTTATAAACAGATAAGTCAAATGTATCATTTTTAAATCTCACCATTCAAAAACAGCTTGTTAAAATCTTATTTTTTTCTAATTTTCTCTAGGTAGATGCATGTGTAAATATGTCTAATTTTCTCTTAGCAAATACTTCAGTATAAAAAATTCTTTAAATCAGAAAAAAAGTACAGGCTCTTGAAACAGATGTGTACACAGTTATAATTCTGATACAATTCAATTTCAGTTTTTAACATATTTTTTAAGTACTGGTTGAATACTTGTATGCAAAGTAAAGTTCTGGTTGCTGAAGTCTTAATATATTTTTCTTCCAAAAAGCATCAGTTTATCTTCACAGAAATAATATAAAAGGCATACATTTCTTTGACTACTCAGGGATAAGAAAAGCCAGTGTATATCAATAGATAGTAGTTCAAATAGAACACAGCCACGTAAGTAATTTTTAAGATAGAATGGTAAATATCATCTTAGATTTTCAAAAGATGAAAATGTTAATCAGGGCACCATTGGCAAGATGATTTAAATAAGTCTTCAAAATAGCTTTTGATAGGTATTAGCAATAATAATGCCAGACTCCCTTTTTTCAAAAAGTGAAAAGAACACTATGGAAATGCATCCTTCAAGTTCATGAACTCAATTTAGTGGAAATGATAGCAAGATGGAATACTACCTTTAAAAATGGATTTCATGAAGTGGTACTCAAAGAAGAAAAAAATTAGAAAGAATTCACATTATATCCTCTCATTGATTTCTGTGCCAAATTCCCATCACTCCTAATGGTAGTTCTGAAATGGATGATTGACTGCAGTGCTTTGAAGTGAGATTTAAGACCCATGCGAGACCACAAGTGGATCAAATCTTTGGAATAATGATTTTCAGGAGAGTAAATGAATTATGAGTGTTTAGGAGTCGCCTACCTGAAAGCTGTTGATCTCTAGTATTTTGACCTCTGGAAAGTTTTCTACTACTCACTGAGAATTACCTCTATACTCCAGAGGCACTTGAGTGTGTCAAGTAGTGGAGCTGCCGACAAGACTGCATCACCTGCTTGATGTCTTACAATTGAACATGAAAATTGTAACAAGGTTTGACTCAAATCTCTAGAATCTTAACAACGTGTTCAGAAAGTAGAAAACTTTAAATGCAATATTTTTTTTCATTTTAATCAGAAAAAAAATAGAAAACACAAAGTCAAGAAAGTATGCAAATTCACAGTTTAAAGAGTAATATCATGGGATTTCTTTTTTTACAAATTTCATTATCCTCTTTAACTTATTTTTACCTTCACACTGCCAAATTTTTCACATATATATTCATCAAGGCTCAACTGTTATAGAAATGTACACTGAGAATTCAATTAGAAAACAACAAATAATTGGAAAATACCCAGAAAGTGATCTTGCCTTTGTCAAAAGGACACCAAACTATACCTTTCATTTCCCATTCAAATCTGCTACTGAAGTTGCCCAAAGCCAAGAGGCAGAAAATTGAGAAGGCATAAAATTGTCTTCCTTGACAGCTGGTCAAGATACATGCAAAGAACAGAGTATGTAATCTGAGATTACTTTATGTTTGAGAAGCACTTTAAACATGACAAGGTCAAGTTATTGATGTTCTGGAAAGAATGAGAGGTAAATGTTAACTGGACAGTTTGACATAGGCTTTGATTCTTGAAATGTGGCACTTCCAAACTGGAGCAGAGACATCAGGCTACGGTTCGTGCCTACTTTGAAATTCTATTCATTTTGATTATTTTGATTGCCATATAGAATCATGTACCAAAGAAGTAGGGATCTGACTGCACAGCCACGCAGCTCTGCATTGTTAAAGCAGAAAAAGGAGCAGATCGTACAACAGTTCCAAAGGTAGCTACACAGTCAAACAGTGCAAGGAAGCATAAATCAGAAGCCTTCTGGCAGAAATTACTTAACCTCACTATCCCTTATTGATCACTCAAAGACACTGCCAACTACATTAGCCCATTTTGATTCCTGTGAAGAACCAATATGAAGCTGGACAAGAGTCTCTAGGGAGACAAGCCTAGATTACAGATTGATATCAGTAAAACACCACATTTTCATTACATAAAAGCATTATGAATTTTGCATTTCAGCATGGGATGTGGTTTGTGAAATACACTATATTCAACATGTGGAGAGCAGTGGAGATGGTAGTTTATGCCATCAGTGGCATTATCTGTGTACCTAAAATATACTGAAAACACATTCACCCTCTCATATTGGTGAACTTTGTTCTGTTTGACTGTAAAACATATATAAATAAGAATTTTCTAGAAGGTTTCTTGGAAAGATCTTTGTGCAAGTACAAATTTGAAAAGGATATATATATATATATAGTCTTTTAACAATGTAATTGGTATTTGCAGAATGGATATGTATCATATTGAGAGTCAGGATGAATTAATTATGCTTTTCTGTAAGTATATAAAAACTAAAAGCTATTAACAGAAAATATATAAAAACAATCAATAATGACCTTTGTTAAAATAGTCATATATATTTTTATCAATATATGTGATATGTTTTGACCCATAAGAAATCATGCAATTTTTAGAAGAATTCAAATTCTAGATACTTGAAGTATACACAAAATCACTAACCCCTTTTTAAAGATAAAAATTACTTTTGTTAACAATCTGGAACCTGATTCTCTGCCAATTTCAATTAAAGTCTCACATTTACATTAATATCAGGCGCCCAAAATTTTGGGAGGATATGATAATTATAATGAAGTTATAGAGGACATTTTGGTTACTTGTCTAATGAGGAAGCAGCATGTAGTTATATTTAATTTTTTTGATACAATGTATTTTATCATAATCTTTGACTTCCTCCAACTCCTCTAAGATCCGCCATAGCTTTCCCGTCCATCTTCATATTCTTTCTTACTATTTCTTTCTCTCTCTCTCTTACAAACAAAAAAAAATGAAATAAAAACAATATAACCCTAATCACCTTACTAACCATCTACTTCTTCTACTCTTCCATTGGGTGAATTTTTTCTCTCTAACGCTGAGCCTAGAATGAAAGCCAATTCTGCGTCATCAACCATAAGAACAAACTTTTGAACCAGCTTTGGTTATTCAGATCACCGTCTTCTTCAGGCTGGTGAGGGGTGTTATAAACTCAATACCTCATTTTTCTGTGAAACAACTGAAAGGAATTATTTTTCTGAGAGACGATTCTGAGTTCAGGCTATACAGGCTCTCAGGTCCACCATAGAGAATCAGTACAAGATGGAAAGAACATCAGAACCCTGAGATCATCCACAGTGTGAACCAATGGAGCAAGTTGTTCTTAGATCCAGACGTACGCCTGGCCTTTCCAGATGCATACGTATATGCAGATGACATTACTTTTGTGTTGGTATTTCTTCTACTAGCAATCAAAAATTTGACTGTGCCTGTTATTTCTTCATCTGGTTTTACCAATCATTATGAAATGGATCAATCAGAACATTCTAAAAACCAAAACTTTTATAAAAATAACTCATGGTTTTAAAAGGAATTAGATTTGGCCAACTCTGGATGACATAATAAGAACACATGCACTACATTTCACGGTTATGGAGTTGGTGCTCTGATGGCATGGTAGGATCACTGTAAAGACTCCATTCTTGGCTGACATCTGGTTGACTTTTTAAGATGTCTTCAAACAGTAGACAAGAAACAATACCTTTGATTGTCGGCTGCTATAAAAACAGTAATTGTACTCCAAATTTTCCACCCTAATTACTTCTTCTAAACCTAATTTCCTCACAAACATTTGATTCCCTAGACCTAATAACACTAGTTGGAGTTTAGAACTTGAGCTTGTAATTAAATGGGGGAAGAAAGTTCATTACATAGGATGAATCATCCACTTTTGTTTTCCTTTTTAATGTTAAAAGTACTAAAATATCTTAAGCCTAGAAAGCATAGCTATTTGATAGAACTGTGTCTTTCATTTTAAAATAACAGAAATCATACCTGGTAGCCTTAACTAAATGCCCTGAAGTAATAACTGACAGTAGTCACTATACATGACATACTACAGAATTGGAACTTAACAGGTTGTAGAGCAAAGATTATATGACTGGATTCGTATCAAAATGTTCTGGGATAATAGCATAGAACTTGTGAAACTAGCCAACCAATAACAGGTCCAACTTGAGTTCCATGCCACCGAGAGGGAGCCAATGTTTGACACTGGCCAGGAACCAGAGATAGGGCAGTCTACAGATCCAAGTTTTAGCCAAACATGACCATCAAAAAAAAAAAAGTCAATGAAATGATTCCTATTGATATACTGTGATACTCATAAATTGGTGTCTCCTCCACTTGCCATCAGAAAAACATCATCCAACAACTGATGGATTCAGATGCAGAGCCA